TAATATGGTATATCATACTAACTGATTTACAAATGTTGTACCATCCTTGCATTCTTGGAATAAATTTCACTTGATTGGGGTATATGATCCTTTTAATGAATTTGGTTTGCTGATATTTTGTTGAGGATTCAAAGAAATCTATGTTCATCAGAGAAACAGGACTGTAATTTTGTTGTTGCTGTTGTTGTCTTTTTCTGGTTTTGCTACCAGAGTAATGCTGGCCCCATAAAATGAGTTTGGAAGTGTTCACTCCTTTTCAATATTTTTTGGAATAATTTGGGAAGGATGGTTTTTAACTCTTCTTTAAACAATTGGTTGATTCCACCTGTGAAGCTGTCGATTTTTGTTTTTGGTAGTTTTTACATTATTGATTTAATTATATTACTTTTAATTGCTTATTCAGAGTTTTTATTTCTTTATGATTCAATCTTTGAAGGTTGTATCAAAGAATTAGATCAAAGAATTCTAAAATTTATATGGAAACACAGAAGACCCATGAGAAAGAAGAAAAAATTGGAGGTATCAATCTCCCTAATTTAAAACTGCACAACAAATCTATGGTAATAAAAATAGTATGATAATAGCATGAAAACAGATATATATATCTATCTATATCTATATCTATATCTATATCTATATCTATATATATATCTATATCTATCTATCTATATATATCTATATCTCAATGGAATAGAACAGAAAGCTCACAATAAATCCACACACATATGGTCAATTAATCTACAACAAAGGAAGCAAGAACATAAAATGGGGAAAAGATAGTCTCTTCAGTAAATGGTGCTGGGAAAACTGGACAACCATATGCAAAAAAAATGAAACTGAATTACTCTCTTACACCACATACAAAAATAAAGTCACAATGGATTAGATGTGAAGTAAGAACTGAAACTATAAAAGGTCTAGAAGAAAACATAGGTAGTAAGCTCCTTGACACTGGGTTGGTATCCTCTTAGACTAGTCTTCTTGGGCGAGGACAACAAGAGGAAAAATAAACAAATAGGATTCCATCAAACTGAAGAGCTTTTGCACAACGAAGGAAACCATCAACAAACAAAAAGGCAACATACTAAATGGAAAATGATATTGGCAAATGGTACATCTAATAAAGGGGTTAATATTCAGAATTTATAAAGAACTTACACAACTTAATATCAAAAAACAAACAACCCAATTAAAACAATAGGCTGAGGTCTTTAAAAAATATTTTTTTAAAGAACACATACAAATGGTCAACAACAATATAAAAAATGGTTCAACATCACTAATCATCAGGTTAATGCAAATCAAAAGTGCAGTGAGCTATCACCTCACACCTATCAAAATGGCTATGAACAAAAGACAAAAAGTACTTAAGTATTGCTGAGGATGTAGAAAAAGGGAACCTTAGTGCTTATTGTGGGAATGCTATTTAGGGCACCCACTCTGGAAAAGCATGTGGAGGTTCCTCAAAAAATTAAATATAGAACTTTCATACGATCTAGCAATTTCACTCTGGGTGTTTATCTGCGGAAAATAAAAACATGCATTTGAAGAGACTGATGCGTTCCTATGTTCACTGCAGCACTATATACAGTAGCCAAGAAATGGAAGCAACCTATGTGTCCATCAGTAGATGAATGGATAAAGAATTTGTGCTTTGTATATACAATGGGCTATTACTCAGCCATAAAAATAAAATAAACCTTGCCATTTGTGCCATGAGTAGACATATAAGATATTATGCTGAGTACAATATGTCAGACAGAGAAAGACAAATAGAATATGATGTTACTTGTATGTGAAATTTAAAAAGCAAGACTAACGAAGAAACAAAACAAAATAGAAACATACTGAAAAAGACAGGAAACAACTAGTGGTCCCAATAGGGATGAAGGGTTGGGGGATGGGTGAAATAATTGATTAAGAGGTACACAACACAGAAATATAGTCAATAATATTGTAATAACTTTTTATGGTGACAGATGTTAATTTACTGTGATCATTTTATAATGTATATAAATATTGAATCACTATGATGTACACCTTTAGTTAATAGAGTATTGTATGCCAATTATACTTCACTTAAAAAAAATAAAGGTCCTGTCATGGACAGAATGTGTACCAACTCACTTTAACCAGAGATTGGGTAAGGCTACTGAGCAGAGAGGGCACAGGCGTAGGTGGAAGGGGTTCACAGTCTGTTCCAGTGCTGACTTTCATATGTTCTACCTCTGCTTAAAATAAATATTTTGTTCTAAGAATCTATGATTACATAAAAAGTATTGTTTTTTATTAATACTGAATTAAATTCAGGCCAAATCACAATACGTAAGTTCTAGCATTTTGGTAGGGCCAAGCGAGACAAAATATTGCAGATCTAACGTGTACTAAAAGTAGTCTTTATCTATTTCACAATTTTGTCATAAAAGGATTCAGTGATAGTTTCTGTAGTGATAAAGATATCAAACAGCAGTGCTGGGCAAAGAACTTGATACAAGAACTGGTAAGAGCACAGGTTTGTATGCTAGAAGATCTGAATTCATATCCTTGTTTTCAAGTGGAAGGCAATCCATTTTTAGGGTTGAAGTTATTTTGCTGTAAAATAAGAATTTACCTGGAGTGATCTATTTTACGAGTTACTTTCCATTTCATGTGTCATACAGAGAATGTTATTTGTATGCCCTGGAGCTCAGGGAACACAATGTATTATTTTTAAAACCATGGCTGAAATATTTAAATGTCTATTGCAAACCCATAGGGCTGCATTTGGGAATAAAGCAAATTTCCACGGAGGATGAATACATGGAGCATATTTTCATTTGACCAAGTACAGGACTTTTGTTAGGGATTTCTGGCCTGGAATTGTCTTATATTCCGCCCCAGAGGCTCACCTCAGGGATGATAAGAAACAGTCAGAAACAAGATGGAAATACATGATCCTGTACCCATGTAATGAAGGAGTAATATAAGCAGCCGGCAGAGAAACACATTCACCCATGAGGGAACTGATTGGGTCATCTTTGAGGGTAACCATGAAAAGGCTCATGGGCAAAGGAGCCATCATTTTTTAATCATCTGCCATAGTTCTTGGAAACCTGTACCAAATCAGTACCAGGCAAATGAAAGTGTTCATGTTCCCTGATTATTTCCAACCTCAGGAGGAATCACAGAGAGTAGGGGTGGATGAAATACTAGGAAGAAAAACAGGGGGCAAGAGCCCATTTCTCTTCCTCACCTCTGCCCCATCTGTCACAAGCCCAAGCTATGGGGAGCAAAGAACCTTAACCCAAACGAAGTAAAATTTTTGTGAGTGACTACACAGGACTAGACACATTAATTGATTAATTGAAAATATTGATTAAAAAAATGGAGAAAGTTCTTTCTTTAATCTGGGTGTAACCTGAAATATCATGTGTCTACTTGCAATTTTATCTGGAGCAGGGAAATAAATAGCTCACAGAGCTCATTGGAGTAGGTTGTATATCAGTTCCACTACAAATACATAACAGTGTAATATTTTATTTCCAAACCTTTTTTTTCAACATTGGTATTAGTAATGACAAGAAAAAGAATAGAACTAATTTGTGATTGAGGATGAGGGGGTGTTTACCAGATAGGTATTGAGGCAAGAAATTGTGTGCTTTGGCAAGACAATTATAGTACCATGTCTCATAGTCTGGATAGGACCACTCGTTCATTTTAATTACTCAAAAAAATTTTTTTTTAATTGGTAGGACTTGCAATGAAAAGAAATATCATAGTTACGTGGTCTATGATTAAATTTAAATATTTTAAAAAGTAATATATTTATGCTTTTAATCTGTGAATTGTAGAATTCAATGGATAGAGCATGGAGCGGAAAAAAGTTAATGTTATTTGATGCCTACAACATAGTAATAAAGTTATCCCCAGTCCCTGCCCATTGCGGAGTTAAATAGGATGCTGCCCATCTCTGTTTATGAAAGTTGTGCAATATTATCCTTTGCATGAAATAATAATTGGTCATTACAGAGACAGATTTTCCCTCAGACATTTGACTTAAATTGGAGGAATTCCCTGAGTGGATCAAGACAGCAACATAAATCTTGAGACAATTTACTGCATAAGTAAACTAGTAACTTATTAACTTGACTGGTCTAAATACTGTTATGATTAAGACAGATTTTATAACTTCAGATTCTTTTTGAAACAAGGAGCTTGATTTTATACTTTTACACTAAACACAGATGGTCATGTAACCCCTCTGTTATTATACAAAATTGGCCATAAATAGGCTCATGGAGGATTTAAAGCCCTATTTGGAAAATGAAGACCATAGGTCTAAAAGTATAGTTATTAGAAAATTTACTTATAATATTATATATACATATATCATATGAATACTGAGAAAAATATATTTACATTGATGGAGTCATAGGAAATATATTACCAATGATATATTAGTTATTACATTATTATTCTTTAATAAAAGTTTCCTGGATATATGGTGTATTTTTATTTAAATTGCATTTTCACAAATATCTTAATAGCTTTTAACCATGCCATTGACAAAAATACTACATTATGTTCTCTCTCAAATTGTTTCTTGATTTTGTACTTAATTACATTAAAAAAATAAAGCTCAGCCCTACAATAAACATGCACAAAGTAATTAAAGATTTCTCATCATAGACCTTAAGAATGATGTTTCTTTTCTTTTACTCACTTCATCAGCTAATCAATGAACAGAAAATCTTGGTTCTATTATCCTGAGATCAATTGGAGTTTAGATTTTTACTTCCTTTTATTGCTGTTTCAACCAATGGCTGTAACATTGTCAAGATATGGTTTATATTTATATATGTGCTTAAACTTGTTCATAGATTTCTCATTTGATTAAATCTCTATTAGATAACACGCACTTGCTATCACAACATTTGGGCTGTTATTTTACTCAAAAGTGTTAAAAGACTTGCATTTCTCTTAATGACTTGTTTCTGAACATTCGTTCTTGTTTGTCACAGCTGAAGATGCGTGTGGGGGAACAATGAGAGGATCCAGCGGCATCATCTCGAGCCCCAGTTTTCCTAATGAATACCACAACAACGCTGACTGCACTTGGACCATTGTGGCAGAGCCCGGGGACACGATTTCCCTCATATTTACTGATTTCCAAATGGAAGAAAAGTATGATTACTTAGAAATAGAAGGTTCTGAGCCACCTACAATATGGTAAGTAGATAGCTTTTATTAACCTAGCACTGATGTATTTTCCTAAGACAAATTGGGGATCAAAAAATAATTCTGTGTGGGGCTTTGAAGGTTTAAATATTTGAAAGAACTTACAGTGAACAGGAAAAGTGTAAGTGGCAGCTGTCAGAGCTAAGGGACATTTTGGAAGATCGGGGCATTGATATATCAAATAGATTGGAATTTGTAAAGACCGAGTTTTCCATCAGTATTTCTTTATCACTCTGTTAATGAAAAGTAATGTGACTTAATCAAAACTTGTATAAGGAAATTAAAATTATTCCTAATGTAATCTATAGTTGTGTTCTTTAGAATGCTGGTCCATACTTGATGGTTCCTTTCAAATTAATTGAATAGTCCTGAAAGAAATTTGGCTGTTTTTGTAGTTAGATCTTTTGTGTACCCTGTCAACTGAAAGCAAAAATTAAACAGTATATTCTGAGTAGTGTGTCTTTCTTTAGAGACTCAAGTCATGTTCTGAAGAGTCTGCAGTTTTAGAACATAATCTTAAAATATAATAGTTCTAAAAAATGTTTCTTTATGCTGATTTAAAATTTTGAATGCATTTACATTATTATAGGGTAAAGTAGGTTATGAATCAGTAATTGAGTAAAGAATGATGAGATTAGTGAAGGAAAGAAATAATATTAACACAAGGCTAGGAAAGGCCTTTTTAGCCATGTAAAGGATTTGATAAGAACAGTGGGAATGTATTAAAGTGTTTTTTATCAAAAACAATTACATGAAGAAGTCTGAATTCTGAATTTTCAAATGATTATTCTTACCTATGTGTGAAGATTGATTTGAAGTGGGGCTCAATTAGCTGTGGGAGGACCACTTAAGAGGTGATTGCTGAAATCCAAGAAAAAGCCGTAGTAGCTTGAGTTACGATGGTATGGATGGAGATAAAGAAGCAGAATGAGTTGAGAGATATTTAGGAGGTATATGTAAAAGCCTCTGTAGTGGATTGAAGAGTGACAAAAGAAAAGGCAGTGCTCAAATAAAACATCATTTTCTGACTTGTACAAATTGGTAAAGATGTATTGGAAAAGGTTGAATGGAGGTCAAGTTTGCATTGGGAATGCTATGGATATTGAAATTTGTTTTAGATGTATTTAGTTTGAAATATCTTTTAGATATTCTATTAAAGCCATCTAAATAGATCAGTATGTCTGTGTATATGAATCAGGAGCTCTGAGTAGACGCATAACTGATCTATAGTAAATATTGACGGTAATTGAACCAAGAGACGTCAGTAATCATGGCTAGACAGAATCAGGATGGAATGAGAAGGCAAAAATGGAGAAGGACTGTGTCTGCACATCGATAACATATAAAACCCAGGCTTAGGAGGATGATCCATCGAAGGAGCCTGAGGAACAGCACTCAGAGAAGCAGGAGGAAAAGTAAGGGAATAAGGAAGGTGTCACACAGGCGTGGGAAGAAATGTGAAGAGTAGCCAACATTGTGGACTGCTGATAAAATAACATCAGGCAACATTTTTTTAAAAAGTGTATTCCTAGTTGGCCAGGCTTCAGTAAAGGTACCAAGTGTTTCTATTATCTTAATAGATGCCTTTTAAGATAAGACAAAAAGAGCACACTTAGCTATACTTACTTTTGTTTTTTTGTTTGCTTGTGCTCTCTGCCTTCAGGCCCTCAGTCCTCAAGGTTATGTAACTTTAATTCTTCGAATGATAACTCCAGGCCTGGGCGCAATAAACCCAGCAGAATTCTGGTTCAAATGTTTGAGAAGTAAAAAAAAACAACAACAAAAAAAAACTATTTATTTTTTTAGAAATTATTACTTCTAGAGTGGTACATATTTGACTCATATAAAGGTAGATGATTAAAGTTTCAAAGGGTTCCTTCGACTTGACTTCCGTTCTCTGATTGAGGGACTTAGAACTCACCGCTAGCTGCTATACACTATTGTTTTGTTCCTGAAGTTGGGGCAGTGATTTAAGGTTTACTGTAGCAATGGAGCTGTGGTTCTGCATACTCCTACTTATCCATGGTAAGACTTGGTCAAATGTTTGTAATGACTCTATAATTTTGAACTACCCTTTTTATTGTGGTAAGAATATTTAAGATAAAATCTCTCAACAAAAATGTAAGTGTCTAATACAGCATTGTTAACACTCAGTGTTGTAAAGGGGATCTCTGGAATACCTCCATCTTACACAATTGAAACTTTAAACCTGTTGAATAGCAACTTGCCATTTCCGCCTCCCCCATCCCTGGGCAAACACCATTCCGCTCTCTGCTTCTGTCAGTTAGATGCCTCATGTAAGTGGGTCATGAAGTATTTGTCTTCTGTGACTGGCTCATTTCACTTACCATAATGTCCTCAAGGATTTCCTTCTTCTCCAAGGTGGAATAATATTAATTCTTTTTGTATGTATATACCATATTTTCTTTATCCATTCATTATGGTTGTCTCCCTTTAGACAAATTAGATAGGGTACTCGTGAAATGAAAAGGTGTCAGAACCAGAAGGGATTATAGGATGCTGCTGGTGAGTTCTTCCCATTGAGGGTGATGACTCCCAAGGTTCAAGGTGAATACTGTGAAATATAGCATAGGGAATATAGTCAATAATATTACCATGACTATGTATGGTGTCAGTTGGATACTGGGTATATCAGGGGGAAGGAACACTTTATAAACACACAGTGGTTATCTAATCATTATGCTGTCCCTATGAAACCAATACAAAATAATACTGAAAGTAACCTGTAATTGAAAAATTAAAAATTAAATAAATTAAAAGACTAATACTAAAACAGAAAATTCTAGATGAGAATCGACATCTCCTAAAACTTGCTCCAGTGTACTTTTTGATAAAAGTATTTCTTGTTGTAATGCTTACAACCAGGACTTTCTTAGAAAAATATACTATTTATCAATAAAATATTTAAAAAACCTGAAACTTTGACATACAAATATAATAGCATGCATTATTCTTTTCAAATGTAGCCTGAAATCAATATTATAGATTGTGTTGATATTTAAATATAATTTTTCTCAAAAGAGTTAGACATTCTTCTGGGTATTTGAGAATGCCTAGTGTGGATAATTTAGAGTTTTTAGTTCCTTTAACTATAATTTTTCTGCTTTAAGGAAAATTCAGTTGCCAGTGTAGCAAGAATAGTTAAATAACGTATTTAAGTTTTTCTCATCAATGGGAAAAATAAATAAAAGAGTTACATAATGGCCCTGGCTGGTTGCTCAGTGGTTAGAGCGTCAGCCTGTGGTCCAGAGAGACCCGGATTCGGTTCCCTCTAAGGGCATGTACCTCAGATGTAGTTTGTCCCCAGCCCTGGTTGGTTGTGTAGGTGGCAGCCACTCGATGTGTCCCTTTGACGTCGATGTTTCTCTCTCTCTCTTCCTCTCTTTCCCTCCCACACTATCTGAACAAAAAAAGAAAAAATGTCCTGGGGTGAGGATAAAAAAAATAAGAGGTACATAATGGTAGATGAAACCAGAATTAACACAAAAAAGAATTTTCAACAGTTTTTAATCAGGCAAGTTCCATTTAAATGCAAAACATTTCATCTCTAACTTAAAAAATTTTGTTTTTGAAAAGTTGAAACAGACTCATATATACAGAGAACAGGCTGATGGTAGCCAGAGGGGAGGGTAGCTATGCGAAAAATACGAAGTGATTAAGTAGTACAAAATCACAGTTACAAATAGTCATGGGGATGTGGGATGCATCATGGGGACTATGGTCATCTCTGATTTTGTTAAGATGCAAAAAATATTAGTTGTTAAATGCACATTACATCATTGATATGAAAACATATATAATAAAAATACATAATTTTTACATATATGTATATAGTTACTTATGACAAATATTAAGTTATTAGTGTGGAGGAGAAAAATCCTTTAGTGATGTTTTTATACCTTTAAGAACCATACATTAAATTTTTTGTTACATCTTTATTAAATAAATTGCGTTTCTAAAGGGTAACTATATATAGAATCAAATAAATACCTGTTCTGCTTTTAAATTTAAGAAACATATTTACCTATATAAAATATTTTCATTATGGAATACATCAATAGAAAGGGAAAAAAGATATATCTGCTTTCAGTTTCTTTTTCATCTTGTGTGGTCTTTTATAAAGACTGTAAAACTGTATGAATCTCTGAAATTAACCTAAAGCTCTGTTATATGGAATATAAGACTATTTTTTTTATCTTATTTAATCCATAGGGAAATAAAACACCATCTTGTAACTATTATCCATGAGACAGTCCCACTATTACTTTTGATAATTCCTTGTTCTCCTTTCCTCCTCTCTACTTTAATAAAGTATTCTCATGAGTATTACCTAGAACCACTACAACTCTGAAACTCTAAACTCTAATATTTTTCTTGCTTAATCTCTTCATCTGTTTTAATTTTATCATAAACTCTGGTGTTTGTCATATTCATTTTCTGCAATTTATTAACCTGTAATGTAGCCTTAGCCATGGAGAGACACAACTCCGTTTTATTTTTATCCTCACCCAAGGATATGTTTTGTTATTGTTGTTTTGTTTTTTTATTTGAGAGAAAGAAAGGAAGAGATGGAGGGAGGGAAGTGGTGGGGGAGGGGGGGAGAGAGAGAGAGAGAGAGAGAGAGACATTGATTGGTTGCCTCCCATGCTCCGTCTGACCTGGGATAGAACTTGCAACTGAGGTATGTGCCGTGACCTGGAGTGGAACCCACAACCTTTTTGTTGTATAGGATAATGATCCAATCAACTGAGCCACCCAGCCTGGGCCACACTCCATTTTTGACAAGAGAAAGATGTGAAAGAGCCAATGTATCTGCATTTAAATTTTTATGTGTCGTGACCAGAAATTGAGATACATTCTTTCTGGTGTTTGCTATTTTCTCCCTGACCAAGGAGGCAAAGTAATCTGCTGAGAGTAAAAGGAGATAATAGGTAGGATTTATCTGAACTATCTTCTGTGGATAATAGGAA